TTTTTTTTTTTTTTATCAAAATTTCAACTTAGGAAGACCTACATAGGAAAAGGTAGCTTGCCTGAAAGGGTTAAGACCTACATAGGAAGAGTAAATAATTGAAACATTAAAACTAACATTGAAACAGTTAACTACGCAGACAACTTCAAATATGAACTACTGAAAATAGACTGCAATCTTCATCCTTATGCTACTTACGTCCTTACATATGATATTTAACTTATATTTTCAACTTTTGCAGTTAGTAACATTCAAATTAAGCAGCATCTACTGGGGTCAGTACTTGGGAGGGTCACCTCCCATGTGACTGACAATGACAAAATAACTGGATTCTTATCTCTCATAATACAATTTTTGTCCATTCTCTCTTTCATCTCTCTCCAAATTTCAAATATTTTTATCACTGCACTTAACTCTGTGGGTTTTGCTTCCCTGTACTTCAATTTGCATGTTCTCAGTAGCCATATCTCTCTTCTGGAAAGAGGTATTTCCCACTTACGAATTGTATCTAAAATTCACAGCATCTCACAGCTGTCTGCACAGTGCACCATACTACATAGGCTTGGGCCTAAATTTATTTTCTCCTATTGCAGTTCATGCATCGTACGTTATTTACTTGAGGCAAGTTATATGGGGTTCCCCTAATCGGGGTAATCTGAGGTGCTGGTAATAGTACAATAAATTTTGTACTGCAGACCAGCATAACAAAAAAGTATCAAAGTATTTCATGGTTCAATGGTAGCCAAGTTTTACAGTTGATGAGATAATATGTAAACACCATTTTTTGCAATATAACAGAAATAGCAAAACTAATGTACAGACTTCAATATATATCTGCAAAAACTTATGTATTTTTATTCTCTAGTTTATGATTGAATTTCAACAATATTTGAAGAAGAAAAAGAGTGTCTGTCATGTGGAGAATATTTAAAAAGCTGCTTATATACAACTTCCTTCTGGTGAACAAAAATGTGCTTAATCGAACAGTAATGCACTACATATCATTAATCTATAACTTGAAAATCAAAATTAATTATAATGGTACAGCTTAAAAAAATGAGTGAATAGAAACTAAAAAATACTGTTACCTACAATCTGACCTACATCTACACTAAAATTACATCTGACTATAGAGAGTTAAATTATAAAGCTTGGTATACTGTTAAAAATTAATTTGTACTCTTTTTAATAACATTGCATGATGCAATCATTGGCAGCTATGCTATAACATGATATGCATTCTGTGAATGAAATGATTCTGCTTAGTTGATCATAATCAGCCATTATTAATAAGAAAATAGTGAAACTTACAAATATAATCAGCTTTATTCATAGCTTAATTTCAAGTAATTATTTTGATGATTTTATTTTGCTTTAAGTGGGGTGTCTTTCTCAAAATGTATTTTGGTTTCATGTTTGTAAAAATATACATCAAGGTTATTATTTGCTTTTAATATTCATTTAAGTATGAAAATGCACTAGATGTTAAAAATATTTGACTATTTTTTTTTAGAACTAATATAGTTATATTTTATGATTTTAAGATTAGTCATGCCCTGTAGGAAGAAAGTTTCTTAGAGATATTTACTTCTATTGTAATTTACTGTATTAGAAAATTTCTTGTATTATTTAATCATGTTAATTTTTTTTTTTTTTTAATAAAGAAAATGTCTTCAGGTGTGAAGGAGAAAGTAAATGTCCAGGAAGAAATTCTGGAACAGTCTGGCCCAGTATTTAATCCTCCTCTTTACCTACAAAGATATACAGCTGTCAGAGATATTTTGTATAAAGTACCTGGTATAGAAAAAGTAAGTTCATACTGAAATTTAACGGCAAATGTAAATTAAATTGTGTGATTAAAAATTCTCAAATTCTTTATATTTTTCTCAAAATTTGTTGCTAGAAAAATTTAACATAAATTCATGTACATAAACAGACAGATGAATGTATTTTCTGTGAAATGAATATTTTTTCTGAAGTTAATTTTTTGTAGTGAATATCTTAAACCATGCATCTCTTGAACCATAAAGCCATACTTAAGCTGGCTGGTTTGGTTTGGTTTATTGAGATTACGGCAAAGCACACTAGGGCTATCTGCCTATGAGGAGGGATGCCTTCATGGAAGACTTTCTAAGGAAAACTGGCTCGTATACACGTTACACATGTACTGAAGCTAGAGAGGAAGGGCTTTATCTATTCCTGTTTGGGTGCCTACCTCCGTTTGTTCAGGATTATTCCATTATTATGAAGAACTCACCGTATGATGGATCTGAAGGTCCCTTACCACCATTTCTTAAGCAAAATTTTAGCTTGATGTTAAATCCATGCCACAAAGGCACTATATGCTTCAACATCCATGTCTTTTTTCGGATTTGAATATGAACTCAGTTATATAGAACCATGCTGATCAAGTTGGTGGGATAAAGATTTTAATATTGAATGTGTAAAGTCTGACCTTGAAAAATATATAATAAATAGGGACTTGCATATTAGCTGAAACACCTCGTCAATGTTTTAGCGAAGAAAAATAATGGAAATTTGTTGATTCATTGCAAAAAATTGTTTATTGCATACTTACACACTATTATTATGCATATTGTAATTTATTCCCCAAATCAATTAGTAAGTCTACATTTCAAGAAAGTTTTTATTTTTTGTACTGGTAGAAATTTCATACCTGATGTCTTAAGGATTGATTCAAAGCAATATTCCCTTTAGCGATTTTGCGGCAATATACTATATTTTTTGCAGGAATTTACGCTACCGTTTCTTCCACTGCCTGACAAATCCACAAGCATATATTTTAAAAATGAGTTAAAGTAAAACATTAAACAAAATTATGATAGCTTTATAAAAATTTTTCTAATGCAACAAAAGGAATGAATATGAAAATGGTAATGTTACTTGCTAAAATTGAACTGTGAGTATTATGTGCATGGTTGCCATAGTGTTGCTCATTCTGAAAATTTGGTGACTTTTACTAAGGTAGTTGCGCTAATACATAAGTACCAGGCAATGTTTTCCTTTAATAATTAACATATTTGTTTTGGGAAATTATGTCTTTGTATTATTTGTTAGCTTCTTAAGTAATTAAGAAATAACACTTTATTTAGTGTATAAGGTATTTCTCCCGCTTTCTTGGCATGCCTTCGTGGTGTGGTGGTCTGCATTCTGTGTGCGTATTCCAGAGGTCCGCAGTTCAATTCCCGGTGAAGGCGTTGCTAATTTTTCATCTTGACTGCTTCCAAAAAATACCTAATGTCTCTACAAGTGTGATTTCAGAACAGGTTACACCTTGAATTAAAAACCATGAAATGGCTTCTTTTCCTTCTGTAGATTAGATCTTGTGATGAATTTGTAGGAACGTATGTGGTTTAGCTGTATCAAAAACTGGGCTCTAAGGGATGTGAATTCAGTGTAGCATTTTTCAATACATATCTCTTCATAAAAAAGTTTTGCAATAGAAATTTAGGGAAATAGCAAATAAGGTATAGAAATTCAAATAATTAAAAATAAACTTAGTCCATAAATGTGAAGGGAGAGTATTTTATTATTTTATGTAATCTTTAATATAATTTGATAAAGGTGTGTGTCTTGGGTCACTGGTAAAGTTTTGTGTTGCAACTCTGCAAAATGCAAGATATTTACATTTCAAATTTGATTGCAAAATTTGGCAGTATAAAAAGAGTATGTTGCTACTCTCAATATATTTATCTTTCAAATTTAATCAACAAAATCAATTATTAGAAGAAATGTATTGCCACTGCCTGAATTAAAATATTATCTTCCTTGTGGTAGTGTTTTGACATTCAGTAAAGCATAAGATATGTAATTTTTCTTTTTATTTAATTAACAAACTAAATTATGTAAAAGCAATAAATGCAGGTTTATTTTAATTATTATTGATTACTAGCTGGACCTTTGAGGTAACATTAGCTGGATTCATTAAAATAATTGATCTGCATATAAAATGAAGTTGTTTGTTTGTGCATGTCAAATCTACAGTTTTATAACAGTTACTTACAAATCTACAGTTTTATTCCGATCTTTATTAAGTTTTGCTTTATTTACTTTCAAAACAAGAGAAAAATCTCTGCCTACAAGCCCATGAGGTCCATTGTCAGGGCATTTATATTAGAACATTGCACTCACATAACCCATATTAGGGTCAAGTTGTCATTGTTGCGTTTCTTCGATCAGTTTTTACTAAAACCATTAGATGGTGCCATGTTCATTTATTCTTTAATCCTTTGGCTACAAATTAAAAAAGATTACTCTATTTTCTATCCAAGTGAACAAAATATGTCATAAATAAGGTAAATTCGGCATTTGGGATTTTTTTTGATGAATGGTTTCCAAGCCAAAGGCTAGGACACAGATGTCCCAGTCGTAGTTAATGGTGGGATACACATGTTCGACACATAGTGATTGACTTACTATAAGAACACTTATTATTCTGGGAAACTTTATTATATAAAACATATTTTGCTTCGTATGGTACAGGGTTAGCATTCTTTGTATAACCCAACATTGAACATTAAAATTCATATTTGTTCTTTTCTCTATGTTCATTTGTCTACAGCAATCATAGTGGCATCTTGATTTTTGAACTATTGGAAGATAATCCTCAACATTCAGGAGATTCTAAGTACTTTTTAACCAAGCAGTAATTTTTTAACTTTTAGTGGGACATATATGTTCTGTTAGTAGTCAAGGAGTTAAATAGCATTCAACTTTCCAGAGACATTAGAACCTTTAAAGCAGATTTTTAGTGTGTTTTCTATCTGTTTTTCTCAAGTGTTTCAAAAACAATGAAAAAATTGACCAAAGTGGATGGTGATTTTCTGGAAGCTTCTTTCTACTTCAGCTACCTTTTCTGTGTACCACATTTATTCGCATATTTTCCTTCTTAGCTTTTTAACGCAAGGTTCTGATTTTTTTAAAAAATATTTATGTAATTTTCCCTATCCTCAAAATATTCAGAAAGTAAGCTCCCTAAATTTTAAAATGTATTCATCTATGTAAGGATTGTTTTCGTCTCCCTAGTTGATTTGCTGTTTAATTTTGGGTGCGAGGGATCTAAAGATGAAGCAGTTGCAATGAAGAGCATCAAGAAAATGGGGATATCTTATGTTCTTGATGGTTCTGAGGATCATTGCACATGGGAAGGCAGAGTAATGGTAATGAAGATGATGACAATTGTGATAATAGCAATGATTTGCAAGCTGTAGTAGACAATACAAAGAGTAGTTCCAGCAGAATTGAATGTTTCGAGGAATATGGAGTAGCAATGGCAAACGTTAATAGCAATCGAGATTCAAAATACAGAGAAGAAGAAATGAAGATATCTTTTTAGACATTTTAATGTTAATTTAACTATGTATTCTTATTGAAATATAGGTTTAAGTAAATAATGTGATGTTACTGGTAGTTTATACATCAATACTTATTTGTTATGCTCTTACTGTAACTGCTTCCTTCTTTCAGAAATTAAATTATTCACATCATTTTCCACTCTTGATTTTTGTATGGTAAAATTAGTAAAAAAAAAAAAAAAAAAAAAAAAAAAAAAAAAAAAAAAAATGTGAATAAATACAGTATATGTATTAAAGAAGTCTATTGTTTTAATTTGAAACAAAGAAGTATTTAAATAGGTGCTTTGAAATTTATTCGTAAATTTGTTTCATGCAAGGCAAATTAAAAATTACACTTAATTCTTTTAACAGAAAAAATTTTTTCTTTTCCCATTAAAATAAAAAATTTCCTCAATATTTGTCTATATGTGGATTAGTTTTGCTTGATTATGACAGAGCACTCGAGAGCTATCTGATTATGGGCAGGAACACCTTCATGAAGGACTTTCTAATGGAAACTGCTTCGTGCATACATTATATATGAGGAAAACCTCAAAAATGCCCATACAACCAGCCATTAGCCAGAATTTGAGCCCAGACTGAACTACCAGTGTTAAGTGATTCTCTGTGTGGAAGAATTTTAGAAATTCTAGTTACAGAGCCATTTTGTTTGAATTATATTTTCTATTAAAATGGGGGGGGGGAGGGCTTATTTTATTTTCAGTCATGTGAAAGATAAGAGACCTAGAACTAGTTATCTGTTCTAAAATATCAAGTCCATGGCCATTCTTGTTAGCAGTCTATAGTATTGTATTGATATGCACAATAGTTTACAATGACTTAAAAATTTACAATTTTTCAGAATTTTTTTGCATTTTTCTGATGGCATTAACTAACATGATACAGAGAACTTCCAATGCAAAAAGCAGAAAATTAAAATTCTTGGGGTTACTCTTCACAGTTTAGAAGAATTTATATTTATCTGTAGAAGTTGCATATTATTGGTGCTTATAAATGTAATTTATGAAATATTTATATTTTATTTATGTAATTAAATCCATAATTGGACACTTACTAACTTTTTATTTTTTCCAAAAATACACTTAATAATTAATTACATGTAATATATTGATTTTAATAATAATTAATTATATGTAGTGTATTGATTTTAGTCTTTTTGTCATAGGTAGTTGATTTTGGTTGTGCCGAAGGTAATTTTATAAAATATTTGATGAAATTACCATTTGTAACTGAAATAGCTTGTGTTGATGTAAATGAACCATGTCTGGAACAAGCAGCTTATCGTTCAAAGCCTAAAGCCTGGGATTTTATATTCAAGAGACATGAAGCCTTAACAGTTAAGTTATTTAAAGGCAGTGTAGCTGAGAAAGACTGTAGATTTCAAGGTTTCAATGCAGTGACATGCATTGAATTGTAAGAGTATATGTAGTTCTTTTTTTCACTTTCACATCCTTTCTGTTTATGTATATACTAAATATACATATTCTCATGAATTATGTATATATATTCTCATGAGTTATGTGCAAATAATTTTAGGTGGCTGTAGCTAGCCTTGCTACTTTGAATGTGCTTTATGAAAAAGAGGAACTTATTTATAAATATATGTAATATGTATGCGGTTGATATACTGAAGGTGCTCTATAAAAATATGATTGATTCAAATATCATATAAAATATATTCAGAAATAAAGTTCCATTCAGCTAAAAAGGAAAAAAAAGTTAAGGGTTATATGGAGGTAAAATTGTGCATACGAAGATTGGCTATCCAATTAATTTACGCATGCAAACTTCTGCCAGCTCCTGATGTATCTCAGTTTTGGGTTGGATTTACCAGTCCTTTCCCCAAAACCTCCCATGGACCATAAAAAAAAGGGGGAAAAAATGATTCAGAAAGTTAGTGCAATCAGGGTTACTTTTTGACAAAATCACCGTGATTTCAATCCATTTCACATCACTAATTGCAGTGTTCATTGAAGAGAGGATCGTAAAGCTCATTCATCAGTAGAAATATGCCTGAATCTTTATAGCAATTTTGTGGGAAAGTAACCATAATTGTACATAACGTTTGGTAGTAAATTCATTTTGTTCTTTACTCTTGTCTCTCTCTCTCTCTTTTTTTTTGGTCCCTCAGAGGTTAAAAAAAACTTCCATTTTTTGGAAGAAAAGAGTCAAGTTATGAAGTGAGAGGGCCACTTTGAAATTATAACCAAGAAAATACCATTTATTCATGACATTTTGGAATACTGTGAAATGTCTGAACCAAATTCTTAGATACTTATTACCATTATGTGTTCTCCGTTTCCTATATTACTTTTCTACTTAATTCCAGGGCCGGATTTACGTATAAGCTACACAAGCTATAGCTTGGGGCCCCCACTTTCTTGGGAGTCCTACAAAAAATTAAAATATAGTATAAATAGTATTAAAATCTATTATAACAGATTTTTAAAGGGCCCTGTATCTCAAATAGCTTGGGGCCTATCAAGTCTAAATCTGGTTCTGCTTAATTCCCACCATCACTGAAGTATTTATCATAATTCACCTCAAATTTTTGTATCCATTTCTTACAGAAATATAATGCATGCTCATTCAGCCAATGCTGCATTTCATTTTTTTTTTGTATCTTTGTTATTGAATTGTTATCCTATAACAGACATCTTCAAATACTTGGTGTTAAGTTTGAGGTGTAAAGAAGAGGATACATCACAGTGTAATGAATTTCAGTAGCAGCCAGTGGCATTGTAATAAAGCATTCTTGTCTTGTTTTGAATGATTCAGTGTAATTTTTTTAAAAGCCTTACTGTAGACTTCTGAATTTATCGTTTTGCATCGAGGCTGAAATTTCTCAAGCAAAATTCTGTGTTTATTCATGGACTGAAATTTTAGTGCTGGTGTTGCAATGTGATATCCATGTTTTATCACCTATGATGATATGACTTAATTTGCTGACTTTCACATACTGCATGATTAAATTGAGAGGTGCATCAAATGATTTTTTTTTCCTTGGCTATTCAGAAAGTTTAGGAAGCTATTGAGAACATAGCTTTTAATAGTTCAAATAATTTTCGAAGTTTAATACAGGGTTAATCCGGACTCGTCGGGACTTCGGCGATTCCGGATTATCGATTTTTCCGGATTATAGATCATCAGTTTAAATCTGGTAAGATGGCATGCAGAAATTATAAAATTAAAAATATGAAAACGTAATTTATGAAATAAATAACAATTATAATCTAAAGGGTATCAAAATTTACATACACACACACACACACACAACAAAAAAAAAAAAAAAAAAAAAGCTTAATATTTATTTGTTTACTTTATTAAACATTTCTTTCAATGTAAGTTGTTTGCTTCGTTTCATGTGATAATACTTTCTCTTTAATTCTATAAACAGACATAATTTCTTGTTCAGTTACAGAGTTCTGCTGTTCAAGTCCTATAATTGCTGTGTTGAGAATATTGACTAATTTGTCAATCGAAATTTTTTCGTTTTCAATAACTTCTGTGTCACTTTCTTCACTATCGGAAGCAAATTATAATGACGAGGAATTTGATTTAAATCATATCAAAGACGGAATACATCGAGATGAAATACTACATTTAATAAGGAATTATAAGCCAAATAAAATAAAAACATCTGCCCTGAAGATAAAGATAGTGCTGACAGATCAACTTCCAATTTATTGCGCGCCGCGGCGTTGAAAGCATCTGCCCTGAAGATACGGATAGTGCTGACAGATCAACTTCCAATTCATTGCGCGCCGTTCCCCCCCATCCCCTGCCGCAGAGCAGTGTGAAATTGATAAACAGATTTTGGAATGATTAGGTCATTTTTTGCAGCAATTCTGCTTTTGCTTAATAGACTTCGAAACATACTTTCGCTTTGGTAGATCCTTTACATATTAGTAAATATATATCGGAAATTCTATTTGACATAATCGAAAGTTCAAGCTTACTTTTATAAAATTGCTCTAACAGTCTGCAAAAAATAATAAGCCGGATCCAATTCGAAGATTAAGGAGCAACGCAATTTGCAACATTTACTGAATTAGATAATTTTAGCTTAGCTTATACCGTCCATTATACATTAAACGCGCATGCGTAAATGTATTTTGCGCACGTGCACACACCTATTTGCAGCCGTAAAGGTTTTACGCGCATGCGTCAACGCAACGCATGCGCAGAAAGTTTGTAGCTTCGAGGTCCGGATTATAGATCGTTCCGGATTATGGGTGTCCGAATTAACGACTTTTGACTGTATTGAAGCTTTATTGGTATTTCTGAAAACACATTAAAAGTGGTGAAATAGAGCTAGTCTTCACAAATTTTTCTCTTGACAACCATTATTTAATTTTCTTTTGCAAGAGGTGATCTTTCACTGCTCTGTGCAGTGAACATTGTCACAGTCTTAGTGAATTCTCTTATCCATCTTCTCACAATCTTCATAAATGCTGTCATGTTTCTTTTTTCAGTTGAGTCAAATGCAAATGTTTCCCATAAGTTTCGCAAATTTTTTAAATATATTTTTACTTTTAATATAGTAGTTTACCCATTAAAAAAATGAATGACAGATTATGCCAGCTATCTAAAAAAGTGGACCAGTAATTTTTACAAATGCATTTTATTCAGCAAAATAATCTCCTTCAGCATCATGCTCCCAGCAAGTTACAAACTTAATAAATCCTGTGTTTGTAAAAGTTCTTGTCCCTGGAGCAAAAAAATTGTCCTGTGAGCTGTGTGACATCATCTTGTTTTTGGAACTGTTGCTCACAAATAATCTGTTGCCAAAAACAGGGGATAGGCAGATGAAGCAATATCCAGGGAGTAAGGAGGATGAGGTAAAACTTGCCAACCAAGTGTGCTCATCACCTCCTTAGTCACTTTTGCTGTATGAATCCTGGCATGATCACTCATTTCCTAGTGAGTACTTCTGGCTGCTTCTAACGCAGTGCAGCTACTATCCTTTTGCAACTGGAACAAGTGCACCTTGGCAGTGATAGTTTTCCACTTTCTAGCAATTCAAAATGCACCAAACCAGCGCTGGCCCACCAAACACAGAGCAGTACTTTGTGTTGATAAATATTTTGTGTAGGGGCAAATGCCACAGAACTAGGGGATGATCAATGATGTTTATTTTTCAGTTGCTGTTAACACCCATTTCTCATCACATGTTAATCAGAAATGAGAATTTCTTGTGGCATGACAATAATGAAGAGCAAATGGTGAGCCACTGGAGTTTGGTTTCCTTGGTCAAAATGTGCAGAACTCACTTACTGAGTTTCCATGACTTCCCAAGGTTGGAGAGATGCAATTGAATGGTTCCTCTGTCACTGCAAATCATTGTGTAGATTCCTTGCACGTTTGATGTCGATTAAATGTTCTCCTTCATCAAGACTTTGTCGATAGTGGATGGATGCACAGTTGGAGGGCTGTCGTGAAGGCTCTTGTTTGCCAATGCAAATTGACTGAACCTTTTTTGTACTGTGCACTTATTCACTGATGCGTCTCCACATGTGGAGCATATTTTTTGAGCAAATTCAACTACATTTCTCCCCAGTTTGAACTCGTGTAGTAAATACGGCCATAAAGTGCCCTTTGATGCTGCATGTTCACTTCAGGATTCTAGTTCCTACAGAACTGCTTTCTATTATTGACATGCCTTACAACATTGCACTGATGACGGTTGATGGAAATGTCATCTGACGTCATTCTGACTAAGACTGACATCTGACGTCAGGCTAACACCTGCCGAATTCACTTTTTTCTTCATTTGCACAAACTGTTTTGGATACCTGGTATTTGGTGGTGTTTGTTTCCATTGCATGTGAGTACTTTTTAGTATGCCATGTAAAATAATTTGAATTAAAAATAAAAGCAGAACTATGCAGTTGCTGAGAGTTTCAAGTAGTGCATATGCACAATTTATATTTCGCTATTTTTAAAAAGTTGGCAAACTTGATTTTATTTCTGAATATATTTCAAACATTGAGGTAAAGCTAAATAACTATTTTTCTTTTAATCTAAAATTTAAGGAATAAGTAAATTTTTTAATGTTGGCTGTATATACGTAGGTAAGTTGAAAAATAAGTTTCCCCTGTCGACTGTGGTCAGAGTTGTGTATGAAAGTCAAAAAATAGAATGAGACATTAAAGATATGACACACCTTTATTTTTCCACATAGGTACCAAGTACATTGAGACATTTGTCATATCGCTTGATAAGCTTCAAAAAGCCCTCCAGGAAAAAATCAGGGCTTTGCATATGGAAGAAGCGTTGAACGGCTTGTTTCACTTCAGTGATCAAGATACGATTACTGAGTGCCAGAAGTTACGCCCGGTCACGGATCCGGATATGACTACAGAACCACTCCAAAAAGCTCTACAAATGCTTCAGGCCCAGGTTGCAGATAT